ATGGACGCGTACCGTCAATCATGTATTGTGTACCAATACAAATAGTACTCCAAGAAAGGATGCTGTCATATAAATGGAGGAAACAACCAAATGAAAAAAAAGACAAAGGATGGTGTAATATCTACTCATCATCACTTGGCGTCAGGCAATCATCATAGCTGATCACTTGTTTGCGACCAGCACTCCGAGCTCTGCCTCGCTGCGGTCGTCCATAGGCGTCAGCCTTTGAGATGCGATTCTATTGAGTATAATACGAATTGGTGCATGTAAAAGTAGGGAATTATCTCAGTTTTTTGTCCATACTCCACGACAAACACGTTGCGACACTCACCGTATGAAATACCTTCCAGCACCGCCAACGTTAAAGTGTCCATATCCGAAGGGATGCCAGCCTTGGCGGGGAGATGGTGTGTGCATCGAATGTTATATAAGTGATTGCATTGGGTGCAAGTCTGCAGGGTGACCGAGGTGGGACTCGATCTAGTGGTGACATCAGAGCATGGAGAGTCGAGACACATATGGGAGCATACTGAAGAAGAATAAAACGGCAACTATAGTACTACTTCCTGAACTTCCCGGGTGTTGCCGAAATTCTTCTGTTGTGGCTAAATATACTGAGAAGCAGACTCGGACTCCACGGACCACGACACAACAATTGCAATCTCTTGTCTCCTGAGACTCTCCTGCATGTATACCTCTCTTGTCTACCTGCACCACCCAGTACATCTCTTCGCCCTCAATCTTCCAGCACCTGCCACCACTAGCTGTAGAATTGATGTATCACTTCTTATCATGATAGCGCAACAAAAAAGTTGTACACATTAATGTGGTCATTCTGCAGTGAGGTGACTTACAGCACTTATCAGATGTTTCGGAGTGACAACACTGCCATTTACACAGTGAGAATTAAGGTTCTCTACACACCCACTGACTGGTTTGAAGTCTGGCCTCAAGTTTCATGTGGGTACAAGGAGCTTGAAGCTGCAGGGTCGCACCAAGGGCATGACATTCGTGACCAGTGATCCGATACAGTGGTAAGTTCTCCGGTACGACTATCATCACACGAGGAACACTTGCCTGAACTTGAACTTATCCACCTTAGAATCTTATCTCGTCCCGCTTGTCGTGGTGCTAGAAGCTCTGATGTGTCATTTTTCAGATACTGCTGCGTCACGAGTGCCAATTCTATGGGAAGTTTTGCCATCTGCATGGTGAGCTCCCGAGTTATTCCCCGAGCGATATTTACATACTGTGTTGCCAGCGAAATTGAATCTGGCAATCCATAATCATGTTGTCTTCCTCAACGCAAGGCCTCGTCACACAAGTTGAGCTCGGGAGCACGTATGGAGCACTTTTCATTGGGGCCATTATTGCAGCCATGTGAGTGGAGTTCGAACTATCCGCTTGCTTTTCGGACGAAACTGACACCGCCTGTGTCTCATCAGTCTTTTTGGTTTGACCAACGTTCAAGCTTTCATCTACTTTAAGACGCATAGGGACACAGGCAGAACATTCTTTAAGCTGGTCGTTCGTCCATGCTGCCTTCTTTCCAGTTCTGTCTTTCACGCTATATCAACAGGTCCTCTTATTGTGGCAAGTCTTCCTTCGAGTTTGGCTTGTCGAGCGCATGACAGTCATGCCACACCATGAACTTTTACAAGATACTTGATGCTTTTCACCTGATCTTTATCGTTCATTGCATCTATTATTATTTAGTGACCCACTTCGCGAACATTGGTGCACTCACAGAAATTGTATGGAGTTTTAAAGTGAGTTTTTTATGTAGCTTCTGTTATCATATTGATAAACTCGTGCAGCTTCAGATAATATTTGACGTAGGTCGTGTTTCCTGAACTTTGATCCGCCTCAAGTACGCACCCCACAGGTCCCCATCATCCATGGGGTACAACTGTAAGTATGATGTGCAGTATCACATACAATGTAATACTTCCTCATTTTATAGCCTGTATGCTCATCGTATATGGACAGGTATTTGTCCTCTTATCTATGGAGTGGATACACAATTTATGAACCTAGTCAGCAAGGGCCGATCAAGAGTTCTCCCGATTATAGCGGTGGGCTTTTTATAGACGTTCACGTCTTCATTTTGGAATTTGATGATGTTGCACTATTAGGGCATATTCGCGGTCCTAAGTTCAAGTGAGTGTATCGCCCTGAAATATTTCTCAATCGTGAATTATGCCATTCAGGTTTATCCATCCGTAAGAGTTCAAAATTGCTCTTGTTGGCTCGTCATTTCTACTTTGAATGTTAACCCGATGATAGCCCTTCTTTGGGCGCTGTGAGTAGAACAGTGGACTCTCTTACTCCACGAAGTGTTGATTGCGAGTAGATTTCAGTGTCACCTGTTCTCTGACTTGATTAGAGTCGAATGGGCGACATACATGGCCTTGACCGTGATTAGTTGTGGTGATGTCCTTAATACATCATTACTGTGCTATCTCCTCGCTACCTCACGTACAGGGTTCTCTATGTAAGGGCCGGGCCGTTCGCGGTCGGAATCTGATAAGCCAACGCAGCGTCTTAGCACCGATTCTTCTATACAAAAACTCATGGGTTTAATCATCGAAACTGGCTGTCTTACAAGGTGATTCTCCTTACAGCCTGTTCCGTCTCTTAACTCATATTTCGTGCAGTGTGTGTTCGGTGACAGCCATCATTACAGTGAGGTCCCAGTTACTGTACTGTCCCCTCACGGCTCTGAGAGTCACCTACAGTGTGCAGTGATGCCGAAGAACTACATCTTTCTCAGTTTTGAATGTTTATTGGCTAAATGTAAGATCAAAACATTATCCGAGGATCGTGCTGACTAATGATATGGTGTTAAGTACATGTCAACTCGTTCATCGCACTCCTGAACTCGCGATACTACCTGCAGGCCAACAGAGATAGTACCGTTTCCTCCAAATCCAATGTCAGACACAGCGTCTACCTCTCGGAGCGGTACTTTCCCTCGTCACAAGACGAGAGACTCAAAGGAGAACATTTTAATCATGCAGATGATGAAGTAACAGTGCATCCCGCTCGACCTGTCCAAGCTGGTAGTTGTGTTAGTGTCGATGAGACGGAAGCCACAGCGTCTACTTGCGGTGATATTGGAAAGAAATTATATCTCGAATTCGTATGATGGGATCGATCGATTGTTACCCGCTTATTCTTACCTATACCATGTATTGCTGTTCCGAGAACACGTTGAACCAAATCAGTGAGCAGGTACTATGGCTCGGTTTGTAGATCTGAAACTTAAAGCAGCCCATCAATACAACAAGGGACCAGTACTATAGTAGTGCCATCAAGATAAGATAATGGTCACGGAACCACAATGCAACTTGAGGGACCAAGTTGGACTCGCTACAGTATAGGACCGGCATTTGAGCCAGCACCGTCATTTGAGCCAAACAGCTACCACACACTCAACATTTGCTTATTGACACATCGGATAGCACAGATATATTCTAAATACATGCATCTGAGATACTGTCGAGTAGAAATGAAAAAAAAATTGTATATGCATGCTACAGGTCAGAAACATGCCCTCTTTTGGCACTAATCAATGCAGCGAGAAGGAAGTATTCAATTATCAATGTCAAAAATCCTGCCAAATGAAAGATCTATATCCCTAGTACAGTTTCAGTACAATGATATATGTCCTACACACAACAACATGCTGCCACTGGGATCCCGGACGAGGGTCTCAAAATCCATTATCAAATGTGTTTATCAGGACAAGATTGCGAAACTAACCCAATTTGGACTTTTGTTTACAGGCTCGATGAACACCATCCTGCAGTCATATTCTGCATATCTCAGTCATGGTTGGTCGTCCAAAATCAGTCACCAGGAAAAAACAACTTGCTAGGCAAGAGCAAGAGATTGCCATTACTCGAGCCATCAATGAGTACCGTGCCGAGCAGAGAAAAGATCAGCCTACCAAAAGCCTCCGTGCCATCTGTCGAGAAGTCCAGGAGGAATATCGAGCAGAAACTGGGAAACCAGTGGTCGTTGACCACATGACTGTCTCGCGTCGACTTGCAGGGAATAGAAGCAGCGCCCAGTACATGGCAGAGGAAAGAGCATGGTTAAAATCAGAGGAGGCAGAGAAGGTTGTTGAGTATTGTCTTGAACTTGGACGTCGTGGATTTCCGATTGGTCATCGTCGACTCAAGGAACATGTTGATGCCATTCTACGAGCACGACTTAAGGAAAAGTTCCCAGCTGAAGGAGTAGGAAAAAATTGGACTGACCGGTTTGTTGAAAAACACATGGACAAGCTTGGCAGATTCTGGACTCGATCTCTTGACACCGCTCGTGGTCGCGCTGTCAATCCCACAACTCATGATCAATGGTTCACACTACTAGAAGGTGCTATGACATCACTGGGTATAGAAGAAGATTGCATTTGGGCAGCAGACGAGACTGGATTCCAGCCAGGTGGTGGAAACAAGGAGCGTGTTTTTGGTCCTTCTGGGGCAAAGATTCAGTACCAACAACGAGATGGAAATCGAGAGAACATCACCGTTATGGTTACAATCTGTGCAGACGGCACCGAGATACCACCCACTGTCATATACAAGGGTAAAGCTTTTGGAACCCAGTGGCATCATAATAACAATCTGGGGGCATCGTGAGTACTTGCTATCACACATGTTGTAAAGTTGCTCAAAAAATGAAGGGTTGCTCACTCGACGAAAGGGTGGACTGATGGTGTTATTGGTCACCATTGGATCAAGGATTTTGATAAGAAGACCTGCGAAAAGGCCAATGGCCGTCCCCGGCTGCTTCTTGTTGATGGGCACAACTCTCATTATACAGAGGCCTTCCTGTCCTATGCACGTCAACAGAACATCCATGTATTATGTTACCCTGCACACACAACACACATCTACCAGGGGCTTGACGTGGCTGTGTTCGGTACACTCAAACGCTGCTGGTCAGAAGAGCGGGATGAGTTCGAGCGTACTACAGGACAAAAAATCACCAAAAAGAACTTTATTCAGGTGTATCAAAAAGCTCACATCCGAGCTGTAACTCCCGCAACCATTAAAGCTGCTTTCGAGAGGACTGGTGTGTGCCCACTGAACCGTCAGGTCATTACAACAGACATGATGGCCACGAGCCTCGTTACTTCAAACCAAGGGCATCTACCATTGCTGCAGCCCAGTCCAGTACGAGTTCTTGCAGATGCTATTCATCAGTATCAAAATGCACACTCAGTCGAAAATCCCTCACTGCCATTTGACGACATAGAAGTTACTGAAAATGCCTTCCGTTCTTCATCAACTCAAACACCAAGTAGCTTTTTCGAATCACTCACCCGCTTGTCCCCAAACAATGCTGTCGCTGGCCCATCCACCCCTTCCCCACTCGATGACTTCTCTCGCACAGTTGTGAATTCTCTAGCATCAACATCAGCATCTTTCCTTGTGTCAAGTAGCCCATTGCACTCGTCATCACAATTTCCTCGCTACATCCCCACATCTATCTCGCCTTCCCGGAAACGAAAATCCGAACTTCTTGACTTCGAACCTGAAACACAGAGAGAATGGGCGCTTCAGCAGGGACTAGCGGCAGCTCATGAACGAGAGGCTGCACAGAAAGCTATGATGGGTGGGATGCAGTCCACAATAATTCTACAGGGGATGTACTGTGACTCATTGCATGGGCAACTCGCAGCACAGGAAGAGGCGAAGAATAATTCAAAAAAACGCGGGAAGTTAATGGGAAATGGCTTACCTTGTTATCTGAGTGGAGATGCTTTCTACACGCGAGTTGTCGACCATGAGAAAGCAGCAGCAGATGAAGAAGTGGCCAAGCAAGCTCGAAAAGAGGGGAGAGAACAACGTGCTGCAGTTTTGGAGGAGTGGAAGAAGACGGAAGAAGCAAGAAAGAAGCGTAACAGGGAATTAAAGGGGAAGTATCAAATGGACTTGGAGCGGTGGAAGGAGGAAAAAGAACTCGCGAAGTTGGAGAAGCGTCGGCTGGCGTGGAAAAAGCCAACGCGAGGTAAATTGGAGGCGCCGTTACCTAAACCGGTACTTGCGGAGGGCACTGCAGGTGACGAGCTTGATGTTGACGGTGATGACCATGAGAATGCCAGTGACGAGGATGAAGAGGAGTAGTAGTAACTAACCTGAGAATCATTACGACACGATAATCCGAGTTGGCGCTTAGATGTGCGCTATATCCATTTTAGGGCTGGCTCAAGTGGTGAAAAAAACAGATATCGAGACATTTTACTGATCATTGCATTGCACACTCGTCACCCATTTGATTGCTCTATAGTGTTGCATTAGTATGGTCATTGTATAACTAAACATAACTGTCACATCAGATTTTTGTTTAATGGAGGAGTGTTAACTTGAGACGGCCAACAAAATTCGCTGGCTCAAATGCCGGTCCTATACTGTATCTGGTGGTCTCATCAATGTAGCACGCAGCAGGCTTGGAGTAGTACCATCAAAAATTTACCTAATACTAAGGACACTCAGGCCTAGGCTAACCCGGACATCATCCGATGGCCGGATGATAATTTTGCAACTCCGAATCCGGGTCGGATATCATAATCAATTACTTCCTTCAAGGCTTAGTCTGACAGCGGTAGCTAATACGTACCTGCTGCGCCCAGCTCCGTGCAACCTGGACAAAATTCAGGAAATAATATTGCGTCTATTTTCCCTCATTATTCCTATCGTTGAAGATCTGATGCTGCTGGAACACATGTGTCTTCAATCATAGAAGAATGCATTAATGAACTTTGAAAACTGCGCACCACCTCAACCGCTATTAAATTTACCGATCAGTTTCAACTGGAAGGAGATCAAACCGGATGTCACGGAAGATGTAGCGCCCCGTATATAACTAAGGTTACGAAGGTCCTTGGCCCTTTGTCGGAATGCTGTCTACAAGGAAAGCCGTTTGGCTTTTTCTCGCCTTTGAACGGGTTCTGACTGCACAGATACCTTTGTCGAGCCATCCGCCTCTATCCTTCTACCCGGGGCCCGAAAATGATCTTGGACAGTGGGACCTTGATGAAGGACCTGCGGTGAACGCGACAGGACATCTAGTGTTCGAAACGGTCAATTCTCTGCTTCAAAACTGGCCAAATACACGTCATCGTATTGGTATGTCTGAAAATACTGAACACCACGCAGATTCATCATTTATGTCTTGCAGGTCATACAATAGTCACAGGGATCATTCCCGTGGGCACTCTTCTCTACCATGGAGCTGCTGGTCCCCATTTACCGACTGCTTTGGATTGGGTGGCTGTAGAGCCAGACCACTCCATACTTTTCTGCGAAGGGTCAATCGAAAAAGGATGCTGGCACCTCACTCTTACAGTCACTCGGCCAATGAAAGTGCTCTATTTTGATGGAAACAGCGGTGCGAAACTCCTCGAGGGCACCATGGACACCCAAGATCTCGTGGCATGGTCGGAAATGAAACCGGAGTGGGTGAAAAATGAAGAGCAGCGCATAAAGGATCTGTGTAAATGGGGTGAGAAATATGGGGTGAATGGCTTTGTGAGGTTCGTTGGATGTTAAGATGCGTCAATGCCGATGCTGATTTGCGAATCATAGGATGCAAATGAATTTGTGCGAACTCATATGCATATGTAGTTCTTTGGGACTTTTTTGTTAACAACAGTCATAGTGAGATCATGATCTGCAACTTCACCTCTCACATGGAGGTCGCTTCGTTCCTAAATCTCGAAAGCACTCGCCTCAGCAGAGGCACAAATCCGGAGCTACCTGAGGACCCCAATACTAGTGAGCGACCATGTCCATGTTTTGACGTAGGTCTAATTTATTCTCGGACATAAGTGCATCGCGCTGTAGAAGTAACGCATTCTTCTTCATGGCACGATCATTATCCAGGAGAAACCCGAATCATACTTGATTTTTCTGGGCTCGTCTCTTTCTACGATACCGCTCTTGTTCCATCCTTGGTGCCGCGCCGTGTAGGCGTGGAGCGGTGGGATCATCGAGTAGCAGGAATATCATCGGAGGATATAGAACGTGTCCGAGACAGGCTAGCTCAAGCGTTAGCACGACCACCTGTCGCAACCAGCGGCATTGACTGGAAAACGGTCTTGCAGGTGGTGGTTGATAGATATGCCAGCCGCCTAGAGATTACGCACCACCTTTTGAACCTGACGTTGGACGATGGGTCAATCTTTAACCACGCACAGCAAATTCAGAGACAACTGCGTACCGTGCTTCTGCCCTACACGGTGTTTGCAGCTTTACCTCCCAACAACTCTGTCGCTGTCAACGCCACAAATTCGTGGGCTGTCCCAGTTTTTCGAGAATGTGCTACGTCGCACACGGCCTCCATAGTGCCTCACGGAACGTCACTGATGCCCTCCGAACGCTTGCTCCTGCAGGCGGTGCGGGAAACCACGCATGAAATATGCCGCGTCGCCACGAAGATGTGGGCTTTTGGAATGACTCTTGGAGTCGACCCCCTTTATCCTTCGGAACTACGCCCTGAAACCGATCACATACGTACTCTCATGGGCGAATGGAAGGAGGATGTGACACAGTTACTCTCCTGGTTGGATTGGAGCGTGTGGGTCAAGTGCCGACCGGCCTGTGGTTTCGAGGTAACAAAGTCAAGTTACTTATTTGCGAAATGACTGACCTGGTCGTGCAGGAGATGTGCTACTTGCCTACTTGGCCCATAGGGTTTTTCCCGACTCCCGGCGCACCACCTGAAGCTGAATGGGACAATGCTTCCTTATGGCCAGACCCAAACGACGGGGAATGGAGAAGACCGCAGCCGAAGTGCATCAGACGGCTGGAGCCCTATGGTTTTTAGGATATATGATTCACATGCACTATTGCAAACATATAGATATCTTTTGTACGTAGTCTGACTTGGTAAATAATTGCCTTGGAGTTTAAGCGCGCGGCGCGCGTAATGTACGAAGTTTAAACGTTTATGGTTTGAAATGTTTTGACATGTTGGTTCTGTTGTATCCCTGACAATCCCGACGAGTGTTGTAGCCGTGTGAATTGTAGACGGGTAGAATCCTGCTCCTACTAAATATCATCATTTCCTGGAAGTACACTCAGGCCTAGGCTAACCCGGACACTCAACCGATGACCGAATGATGATTTTGCAATTCCAAATCCGGTCCGATATTTGGTTTACGCCTGGGTCTGACAGATTCAAAGTAGTACCCGCTGCGCCCAGCTGCGCGCAACCTGGGCAAAATTGTATTGCGTTCATTTTCTATCATTATTCCTATCGTTGAAAATCTGATGCTGCTGGAAGATAATAGGCCTGGATTAATATAGAAGAATGAACATTTAAAACTGCGCACCACCTCAACCGCTAGCCAATTTACCGATCAGTTTCAAGTTGAAGGGAATCAAACCGGATGATGCCTTGACAGAAGATGTAGCGCCCCGTATATAACTAAGATTACGAAGGCCCTTGGCCCTTTATCGGAATGCTGTCTACAAGGAAAGCCGTTTGGCTTTTTCTTGCCTTTGAACGGGTTCTGACTGCACAGATACCTCTGTCGAGCCATCCGCCTCTATCCTTTTACCCAGGGCTAGAAAATGATCTTGGACAGTGGGACCTCGGTGAAGGACCTGCGGTGAACGCGACAGGACATCTAGTGTTCGAAACGGTCAATTCTCTGCTTCAAGCCTGGCCAAATACACGTCATCGTATTGGTATGTCTGAAAATACTGAACACCACGCAGATTCATCATTTATGTCTTGCAGGTCATACAATAGTCCCAGGGATCATTCCCGTGGGCACTCTTCTCTACCATGGAGCTGCTGGTCCCCATTTACCGACTGCTTTGGATTGGGTGGCTGTAGAGCCAGACCACTCCATACTTTTCTGCGAAGGGTCAATCGAAAAAGGATGCTGGCACCTCACTCTTACAGTCACTCGGCCAATGAAAGTGCTCTATTTTGATGGAAACAGCGGTGCGAAACTCCTCGAGGGCACCATGGACACCCAAGATCTCGTGGCATGGTCGGAAATGAAACCGGAGTGGGTGAAAAATGAAGAGCAGCGCATAAAGGATCTGTGTAAATGGGGTGAGAAATATGGGGTGAATGGCTTTGTGAGGTTCGTTGGATGTTAAGATGCGTCAATGCCGATGCTGATTTGCGAATTATAGGATGCAAATGAATTTGTGCGACCTCATATGCATATGTAGTTCTTTGGCAATCTTTTGTTAACAACAGTCATAGTGAGATCATGATCTGCAACTTCACCTCTCACATGGAGGTCGCTTCGTTCCTAAATCTCGAAAGCACTCGCCTCAGCAGAGGCACAAATCCGGAGCTACCTGAGGACCCCAATACTAGTGAGCGACCATGTCCATGTTTTGACGTAGGTCTAATTTATTCTCGGACATGAGTGCATCGCGCTGTGGAAGTAACGCATTCTTCTTCATGGCACGATCATTATCCAGGAGAAACCCGAATCATACTTGATTTTTCTGGGCTCGTCTCTTTCTACGATACCGCTCTTGTTCCCTCCTTGGTGCCACGCCGTGCAGGCTTGGAGCGGTGGGATCATCGAGTAGCAGGAATATCACCGGAGGATATAGAACGTGTCCGAGACAGGCTATCTCAAGCGTTAGCACGACCACCTGTCACAACCAGCGGCATTGACTGGAAAACGGTCTTGCAGGTGGTGGTTGATCGATATGCCAGCCGCCTGGAGTTTATGCACCACCTTTTGAACTTGACGTTGGACGATGAGTCAATCTTTAACCACGCACAGCAAATTCAGAGACAGCTGCGTACCGTGCTTCTGCCCTACACGGTGTTTGCAGCTTTACCTCCCAACAACTCTGTCGCTGTCAACGCCACAAATTCGTGGGCTGTCCCAGTTTTTCGAGAATGTGCTACGTCGCACACGGCCTCCATAGTGCCTCACGGAACGTCACTGATGCCCTCCGAACGCTTGCTCCTACAGGCGGTGCGGGAAACTACGCATGAAATATGCCGCGTCGTCACGAAGATGTGGGCCTCTGGAATGACTCTTGGCGTCGACCCCCTTTATCCTCCAGAACTGCGCCCTGAAACCGATCACATACGTACCCTCATGGATGAATGGAAGGAGGATGTGACACAGTTGCTCTCCTGGTTAGATTGGAGCGTGTGGGTCAAGTGTCGACCGGCCTGTGGTTTTGAGGTAACAAAGTCAGATTACTTGTTTGCGAAATGACTGACCTCGTCGTGTAGGAGCTGTGCTACTTGCCTACTTGGCCTATAGGGTTTTTCCCGACTCCCGACGCACCACCTCAAGCTCAATGGGATGATGCTTCGTTATGGCCAGACCCAAACGACGGGGAATGGAGGAGACCGCAGCCGAAATGCATCAGACGGCTGGAGCCATATGGTTTTTAGGATATAGCACTACTGCTAACATATAGACGTCCTTTGTACGTAGTCTGACTTGTAAAATAATTGCTCTGGAGTTTAAGCGCGCGCCGCGCGTGACCTATGTACTTTGAAGAGGGCTATGGTTTGAATGTTTCGCTCTTTGTGTTTCGCAAGTGAAGTGCTAAGATACTGATTCAAACACAAGAACTTCCCCTCATTTGTCCGTCAACTCAACATGTATGACTTTCACAAAATTCCTCATCTCCATGACGCCATCTCAACGACCTTAAGTCCTCCAACCGACATCTTTGACAGGCAGTCATCGCTGCTTGTGAGAGACATAACAAACACTAGGACGCCATTTATCTCAACGCGAACCCTAGTTGATGACACCCGACACACGGCACACCTTCAAAAGCGTGAAATTATATTCTATCCTAATATACTTCACATGAACTTTGTTCTCAACCTCCTTGTAGGCCAGCCTGTATTATGAGCGCTGAGCAATGTCCTGAACTTTATGAATCATTACAGCGAAGAAACAAATGACATGTTAGACTCATACCAACGCTATCATTCTGGGCGATCCCCTGCAAACTTGGGTGCCCCTCTGCTTGTAGGTGCGTTCCTCCAAGGGTATAAGTCAATACCCTAGTTTATGCCGATGGAGTCTGGATGGTGGACACGGACATCAAGTGAAGCATACTGTCTGAGTCATTCCCGTCTAAAGATAACAAGAACAAAACGCACCGAGTAGGCTAGTACCAGCCACCAGGCAACACAACTCTATCAATTTCCTCGGAGAAGCCGCTGATTCGGTGCATGCCGTGCATTTATAAAGCTCTCTAGCTTCGCCTGGCGCACCCGCGAGGTCAGACAACAGCACCTGCTCGACTCAATTGGGCTGAAGATAGAATGCGGACCCCATTAGCTCGAGCGAGGGCCTATCGATGTGTGACAAGCGTGTAAACGCATCGTCCATTTATTGAAACCACGCTACACATGGATCAGTTCAACGATAGTCTGAGAATGAATATCAATCATACCCCCCAACAAAACCATCTCATTCGCCTCTTCCAGTTGCGCGCGCCGCCAGATCGGGATTGAGGAAATCTCGGACTATTTTGAGGTTGTCTTTGTCCCCTGGTTCGAAACCTTTGCTATCGTGGAGAACAAACCTGTTGTTCTGAGATGAGATGAACTCATCGTCGATGCTGGCATCGCCTGGCTTATCGTGCGCAACGATCTATTGACAGTACTAGTATGAGTAGTTGTGTGTGTTGAAGCGTCGTGTTTAGCTCACCTGTTTTTCCACTCCAAATGCGTTGCTGATCAGTGATGACTTGCCAACGCCAGTCTATTAAACGCACGTCGTCAACACTGGCCTGAGACCGGAGAAAGTCAGATACCTTTCCTATCACCAGAATTCGGAATCTTGGGAGTATCAACCTCAAAAACGGCACTTTATGATCATCCTGACTCACCGAGGACAGTTCTGGAATATGTCGGAAGTGGTAGGCGGAAGCTCGAGGCTTTGACCGGAAGGGACAGAGCGCTCGGCCTGCCAATATATGACTTAGATGGGTTGGATGCCAGATGTGAATCCTTACCTCGGTTGTTGTATTCCTGGAAAGGTCGACGACGATCCTGATTTTTTTATGAAGCTTGATGGATTCTATGAATGCGAGGTTGAGTTTGTGAGTGATCAAAGTGAGAATGCGATGATTATTGCTTGCCATGATACGTGGGAAAGATGTCATCTGGGTCGAAAGAAATGTCTTCGAGTTTTGTCTTGGTCTTTGTCCCAAACCATGTCTTGTACCGCGTATGTAAGGAAAATGAATCCCCATGGGAAAGCATCCTGCGCCAAAAAAACACAGGTGAGAACATGTATTGGAGTCGGACGTCGAGTACTTACATCACCAAAAGTCCACAAGTCAGAAATTGCCTGATTTGGGTTGCGGCTGCGCCACAACGCTTCTCTGAAGCGCCACGTCATGGTCATAAGCGATTGTGCATACAATGTCATGCTAATGCAATTGTAAGGTATATGAGAACCTGACAGCGAGTAGCTAATGGTTGCTCCAGTCTGCTATAAGATTATCTATCCCAGCTGGAGTATATCAACAAATAATATAATTAAAGTGTGCCATAGCCTTCTCTTGCGAAGATGTTGTCATTGAGTTCCTCACCCTCATCAGCCTGCACCCAGTCTGCCTCATCCTCATCCTCATCCTCATCCTCATCCTCATCAGCCTGCACCCAGTCTTCCTCATCCTCATCCTCATCAGCCTGCACCCAGTCTTCCTCATCCTCATCCTCATCCTCATCCTCATCCTCATCCTCATCCTCATCCTCGTCAGAGTCGTCCTTCTCACCGTTGTCCTCATCCACATCTTCGTCTAATTCTTCCTCTTCGTCTTCCCCCATGTCCTCAGCGGCGCTAGCGTCCATATCAACATTCCAATTCTCATCATTGTCAGAGATGTTTGGGGCTCCGTCACTCTGCAAAAAGTCGTCCCATTCCCATGTGACCTTATGACCAACACCTCCACCACGAAAGCGCATGAACATATCTCAGTCTACAAACCTTGTACAGTAGTTAGAATTGTGAATAGTATAGAAGCAAAGTAGGACATACATATTGATATAGTGATACCACCAGTCCTCATCACCATCTTCTTCGTGACGGACAAATGAGGGTCCCATGTAGTGATCTGTGCGCCCATGTGCGAAGGCAGGAATGAGATGGACCCCGCGAATCACTTGATCAGGGTCAAGGAATCCAAAACATGCGGGATCATCGCCTTTAAAGAATCCAAGCCGGTGCAAACACTTTGCAGACCAGCCACCCTTGAACGTAGTATCACGCCCAAACCAACGTACGAAAAGTACATGCATGCGCAGCAGTTTTGATGTAACTGTATTCTTGCCGCCATAATACCAAACATCCAAGTGAAAAATTTGGACAACTCGCGCATACCAGTATGGATGGCGTTCATCATCTTCTTCATGCGACAGGACCATAATATCGGCATGAGTCCGAGGGATAATTGTGTCTTGCTCCCTTCGAAGGTTGTATGTGGTGTAATTGACCTGCAACACACCATGTTCGTGGAGTTGGTTGTTCGCAAATACAACCTGATCCCGATCTTCGTCAGTAAAGCTGTGCTCATCACCTGAGTATTCGATCCCCCGGAGGCGGGCTAGAAGGTGGTCTTTCAGTTGCGGGATAAAATTCTAAAGCACAGCAGATTAGAGTTAGTACTAGCGTAAAATACCACATACCTTCTTTGCTGGATCATCAGAGTTGAGCTCACTCAGCCACACAGTGAGACCAGAGGATGCCTTTGGGTACTTTGAAATATGGTAGTGGTCAGATGGCGAAGTGCATTGACATTTCTTTCTGGACTGGCCAGCCGCTCCTGCAAGAAGCTCACGTCGTTTCAATATCTTCTTCATAAGTCAGTTGTGTGCCTCTTGACGAGCCATGTTTTTGGATGTTGTTTTCTTGTTTTTCAGAGTTCTCAGGTACCAACGTTTGAGAGTTCGATGTTCCAATTCACCCTAGGAGTGTGTATCAGCGTGTGGTGTTCCTTTAAAAAAACAATATACTACCGTCTGTGTAGAAAAATTGTCAGTGGTTTCCATGCGCCGTATTGTGTTGGGATAGCACATATTACAGTGACCTATCTCCGTATAATACGAGGGAACGGATGTGCATAATATCCCGTATGATACGGGCCAGCGGACCATGGGCCCATGATAAAAATATCCTCGACTGTGACGGATGGGCCGGGAGGCAAATTATTCCCGATGGAGGCGGGTGGGCCCATGCAGGGAATATATAGAGTAGATGAGTGGGCCGATGTACATGAATATTAGGTAGATGGGTGGGCCGAGGTAGTTGGATATTATGCAGATGGGTGTATTAAGGTAGATGTGTATGAGATAGATGGGTAGGTACTTGTTATCACATTCACGGGTGGGCCCAGACACATATTAAATTAGACGGGTGGGCCGAGGGTATTATAAAATATTGTATTAGACGGGTGGGCCCAGACACATATTAATTAGACGGGTGGGCTGAGGGTGTTGTATGGGATGTTGTATTAGACGGGTGGGCCGAGGGTGGTATAAAATATAGATGGGTGGGCCCATGTGTATCATAATTGTAGACATGATGGAGCTGAGGTAGTTGTACATCAACCAAATCAGAGGAGGTAATAGATCAAAGTTACCAAGTTCCCGGAGCAGCAGGTGATCTCCTGACATGGCCTTTGATGGTGCACAGGTTGTCTTGCAGAATGTGGAATCCAGGGTGCGAAGCTTGTGTTGCCCTATGAGAAGCCAAGTTCCGACCACCAGAATTTGAGTCAACTGTACCGAGTTCCGAGTTCCGGGACCCGGAACTCAACACATAATTGAGTTAATACTTTCCTGTGTTAAATGGCCAACCTGAAGTTGAGATGTTTCTGAAGAGAGCAGCAGGTGCTCTCTTGACATGGCCTTTGATGGTGCGTAGGTTGTCTTGCAGAATGTGGAATCCGGGGTGCAAAGCTTGTGTTGCCCTATGAGAAGCCAAGTTCCGACCACCAAAATGTGAGTCAACCATACTCAGAGGAGGTAATAAATCAAAGTTACCGAGTTCCCGGAGCAGCAGGTGATCTCCTGACATGGCGGTGCGAAGCTTGTGTTGCCTCTACAAGACGCCAAGTTCCGACCACCCAAATTTGGGTCAACCGTACCGACTTCTGAGTTCCGGGACCTGGGAGTCGACAAATGAATATCTGATGACCAGCACACTTCCAATCAGGTAGTATTTCATTGAGCAATGGATAATAATACATCTTTGACAGCCAAAATTATCCCAGGCTCCCTTATCTGATCCTCTCTATCTCCACCCCCTTTAACACCAAAGTCCGGACATCCAGCATTCAGCGTCTGATTTCCCAAGATTAACATCCAGCATGAACGGTTCTTCCCCTTCCACTCCTGATAGCATAAACATCTGGCGCACTTGGGCCCTGACTGTGACTTATGAAGCAGGGGAATATACCGAACAGAAATTCAAGGCAGAGAAGACTGGAGGAGGCCCAGTCATACCTTCCCCCAACCTAGACACTGATCTGGTGATGGCGTGCGATCGCTTGGCTGATGTACTCATAAAGGCATATAAAAATCCCAGTGGGTCTTCTTGCAGATTCGGAAAATTCGTTTTATCATTCAAATTCCTGCATGACAGTTCAGATGCAGATGGATATTGCAAGATATAGCAAATTGATCTCCCCGAAGGACACCGGGCATAATGAACAAAGAGAGGCGAGGTTGCTTGAGAGGTGTCCTCCTGGCCATGAAGGCAAAAGGTTGGTCGACGAACCTGCCACAATTCTCGATGCATCCGGTGCCATCATCGCATGGTACCTCCCAGACGCCCTGACCGACACCACCCAGGTGTGTAATATACATTGTTACTCAATGGATATTGAATATCAAATGGAACCTACAGAAGGAAATCAGGGAGGCCACCGATTTGCTCGCTCCAAGCCTCGAAAAAAGTGTAAGGGCTGATGGCATTTGGCGAACTAATCAAAAGTGGTTCAAACGGGGCTCGGACGATGTTGGCGCAACTCCCGGATGTATCAATTTATCTCCGGCATGGTTTCAACAGGGACACGAGGTAGGATCCCATGAGATGGTGATTCCGGCAGTCATACTCACCAATCCCAAAGACTATGTCCGATCCGGAGGTATCTGCATCATTGAAGGGACCTTCCTGCGAGAATATCCTGAAAGCCATTGCAAGGCCAGCAGCCATCGCGTCCGCGGCACTCAGGGTCATGCATCCTGAGCAGTACTGGGCAGGGTTGCGAACCTTGTCCAACCTCGGACATATAGCAGTAAGCAAGGATCTGCCACAGATGCCGGAGGCCCTGCAGTACTGGGCATCCGTGTTTAACACCCTCTCTATCATTTCCAATCGGGAAACCCCCAATCATCGAGACCATTTGTCTATTGCTGAATGCTTCGACATTCTCACCACCGTGGGGAACTATTCTGATGCTCGGATGACAATGCCAAGCCTTCAGCTGGAGTTCAAGTACAATTCCGGCTGTATGATTGCGTTTTCCGGAAGGATTGTGAGACATGGAGTTTATGATGTGGAAGGGGATCGGATTGCTTGGGCATGGTATATGAGGGATTCTGTTCACATTTACGCTGGTGTTCCATCATGTGGATGGGCTAGTGTGGATGGTCCATACAGCGTGTGAAAGATCAAACAAAGAGCAAGCATTGTGACCTATATACATTCCAACAAATGAATACCATGTACCAATAGTTATCCGGACCTCAATACTCAATTTTGAGCATTTGCGAAGTGATATATGGGACTGAATAATTTGGATGCCAGCCTCGGTATTCGATAATTGGAACTCAGGGACTTGACATATGGGAGTCCCGAGTGCCGGGGTACTGAGTCCCGAAACCCTGGAACTCCTCACTTGATATTTGAGACTGGGAGAAGATGTATAAATATGCTCGAATTAACATTTGTAATTGCCATACACATTTGACAGAACCCTGAACCACAACATTGTGGACTCGGGACTCGACACTGTTCTGAATACCGAGTCCCGGAAGCCCAGGTCCCGAGTCCCGAATTTTAGGAGTTCGGGGTTCAGGCGACCCGGAGCTCGGCAACTGTGTTGGGTGTCAGGGTATCGGGAGCATTGGAGATCGCATGTGTCAGTATTTTGC